GGAGGGAGGGAAGGAGGAAGGAAGGAAGGAGGGAAGAAGGAAGGGAGGGAGGGAGGGAGGAAGGAAGGAAGGAAGGACTGTGGTGGGGCAGTGTTTAGAATGCAGTATTGCAGGCTGCCCACTGCCAGAGGTTCGATCCTCAACCGTCTGCAACGGTCACTAAGTGAATGATTGTAAATCGAGGCCTACCCGAAAAGGTATCCTGCCTGCTTGAGGCAAAGGGTGGGGTGGCTTATGGGTCCTTTCAACCCAGCAGTGGGGAAAAAAACTCTAACTTTGGTCTAAAGCATGTTTGGGAGTCTGGAAAGGAAGTAAACTTTGTCCTAATTGAAGTTTCTGATAAGAGACTCTTCCTGAATGCAGAAAAACAAGAGTCCACTAAGAAAGAATTACCGTTTTGTGGAAGGTGGCTGGACTAGGCTCTATACTAACAGGCAGCCGCAGGGAGTCCTCGACTTACAACCGTTCGTTTAGTGACCGTTCAAAGTTAAAACGGCCCTGAAAAAAGCGACTTAGGACCGATTTTCACACTTACGACCGTCGCAGCCTCCCCGCGGTCACGTGATCAAAATTCGGACGCTTGGCAACTGACTCCTACTTACGACGGTTGCAGCGTCCCCCAGGGTCACGGGATCCCCTTTTTGCGACCTTCTGACAACGGGGGAGAGCCAGCTTCACTTTACAACCGTGTTACGAACTTAACATCCGCAGTGATTCACTTAACAACAGTGGCAAGAAAGGTCGTAAAACAGAGCAAAATTCACCGAAAGTCTGTCTTGCTTAGCAACGGAAATTTGGGGGGGCTCAATTGTGGTTGTAAGTCGAGGACTACCTGTGCTTTACGGACATAATTTGAGGACAGGCCAAAACGACCTTTGAAATGTGGACATTTTACTTCCTTAACACGTAACTCGTTAACACGGTTCACTCATTAAGAAGAAGGACGCTTTGGTGAATTTTTCTCTGCGGTTGCAAGGAAAATTAGCCACAATATTTGCAGCGAGCAAGGAAGGCTTTTAAAAAAAGCCACATTGGGGGCCGCAACTGTGAGCTTTAAGCTGTCTGTGCCATAAGGTGTAAAAAGAAACCAGCTTTTCATCATGCAATCCTTGCTACTTTTTTAAAAAAAAGTTTTTTATTTATAATACAATTTTTAAAAAAAGAAAACATTGGACATGACGTAACATTCCAGTTTGAACATTTCTGTCCAATTATTTGAACATTTCTGTCCAATTATTTCTCCTCTTAAATTCAATTCTTTATCTCTATGAATATATATAAACTGTTTATACAATACTAAATACATTTTCTCTATTTGCCAACCTAGGAATATATATATTTCCATCTTATCGCTAATCTATAACCCCAACAGTCCTTCTCGATTCCCACCAATGGTACAATTTATCCCAGATTTCAAAATATTCTGATCCGCTTTTATCTTTCAATTCCATCGTGAGCCTGTCCATTTCAGCACAAGATAGTATTTTATGCAGTATCTCTTCATCTGTGGGAGTTTCTTTGTTCTTCCATTTTTGTGCAGTCTAGCGGCAGTCAAGATGTGCAACATCAAATAGACTATTTATCTGTGGTTATACCCAATAAAAAGAGTTCAGGTTTTAGCTCTATCTCCAACATTAATATTTCTTTCAACCATTTTCTTATCCTATTCCAATAATCACGGGCTTTAGGACATTCCCACCACATGTGGCAATAGGTCCCTATTGCTATTTTACATTTCCAACATATAGGTGAAAGATTTGGGCCCATTTTGGCTAACCTCGTGGGTGGGAAATCCTGGCTACTTTTTTGACTATCTTCGTCGGAACGCTTCCGATCCGAAACCAAACAAACTTTGATTCTGCAATTCAGGAGTTTCCTCCGTTTCTCAAGAACTCGGATGTTGGTCCCCACTTTTTCTTTTTCCTTGTTGAAAAGACGATCCACTTATTATTGGGTGTTGGGTCTTCTCCGAGCTTGGTGGTTTTCCTGCAGACGTTTCCTCGCCAGTGTAGGTAACCTCACCAGTTCGTGGGGGAGTGAAGTGTTGGTTGCTGTGTGTTTAAGCAGGAAACAGAGCAGATAAAGACCCTGTCCAAGGATAAATGCCTCAAAGCGATATTGTAATTTTCTTCCCAGATCTCATTTCTTGAAAGTGAGGAACGCGGCACTCGTGATTCAACGGAATTGGAGACGCTACAACTGTCGGCGAAATTACGAGGCTGTAAGTATGTCTGAATGTTGCCGAGATCCTGTCCTTTGCCTCCTTCAGCTTCCAGCAGATGCTTTTTTACTGCATAGGGAGGAGGACTCTGCCACCAAGCTATAATCTAGCCATGTTGGGTTACCCCTCCACCCTCCAGTCTTCTTTAATGTAGTGGAGTGTTGTTTAGAGGAGTGAGCATAGCCTAATTTAGTGGGTTTACTTTAGGGTAAGTTAGTCTAGTACAGGGGTAGGCAACCTTGGCTTTTATGACACGGGGACTTCAACTCCCAGAATTCCTGAGCCAGCATGGGGGAACTATGGCCTCTTCATGACTCGTGGACTTCAACTCCCAGAATTCCTGAGCCAGCATGAGGGAACTATGGCCCCTTCATGACTTGTGGACTTCAACTCCCAGAATTCCTGAGCCAGCATGAGGGAACTTTGGCCCCTTCATGACTCGCGGACTTCAACTCCCAGAATTCCTGAGCCAGCATGAGGNGGCCCCTTCATGACTCATGGACTTCAACTCCCAGAATTCCTCAGCCAGCGTGGCTCAGCTTGGAAACCTCTCTTTCTCCTCAGCATGGCTGGCTCAGGAATTCTGGGAGTTGAAGTCCATGAGTCATAAAAGAGCCAAGGTTGCCCGCCCCTAGTCTAGTAGTTTAATGGTATATGATTCAGTTTAGTTTAGGGCAGGGATCCCCCAACCTGCAGGGCCATGGCTTGCTGGGCACTGGGCCATGGAATGGGCTGGCCAGTGCATGCACATGTGGGTGCACACTCGCCCCCATTCGTGTTAGCGCCGCCACAGCTATGCAAATGGGGCGCAACATGGCAAAAACAGGGTACCGCGCTGCGACCTTCTGACAAGCAAAGTCAATAGGAGAAGCCGGGTTCACTTAACAACCGGGTGACTTATCAACCGGAGCGATTCACTTAACAATTGTGGCAAGAAAGGTTGTAAAGCGGGGCAAAACTCACTTAACAACCGTCTCACTCAGCGACAGAAATTTTGGGCTCAGTTGCGGTCGTAAGTCGAGGACTGCCTGTATGGACTCACCTTGGCTTTTTCGTGCCCTTTTTCAGGCTCTCCTTGAACCATACAATGTGTATGTGTGTGTGTGTGTGTCTCCAACCTTAACAACTTTATGACTTGTGGACTTCAACTCCCAGAATTCCTCAGCCAGCTATGCTGGCTGAGGAATTCTGGGAGTTGAAGTCCACCAGTCGTACAGTGGCCAAGGTTGGGGGCCCCTTCCACAACATCTTTGCTCTTCATCCATCGGTCATCCCTCTCGCTTGACCCCCCAATTTCATATCTCCCCGAATCTGCTTGTAAATTGGTCCTTCCTGATTCCTGGTCCCAGATGCGAATCGGCTTCCTGAGGCTCCAGGCTCTCTATCGTTCCCGCAAGCTCCACCGGCAGTACCATATGGCTCGCCAGCGCATCATCGAGTTCCAGGCGAGATGCCGAGGTTTCCTGGTGCGTCGCGCTTTCCGCCACCGCCTTTGGGCGGTTTTCACCATCCAGGCCTACGGGCGAGGGATGATTGCCCGGCGACTCTACAGGCGGCTGAAAGGGGAGGTAAGACTCGCACGCAGAACCCTCAAAGATCCAACTAGGACCGGGGGTGGGAATGGTTTTCTTGGAAAGCTGACATCCTGCAAGGAGATTTTGAACCCCAATCGAACAACGTCTGCCTATCCCAGATCCTCGGGAAGGACTGGGAGGTGCTAAAACTGCCACAGCTGGCTGGAAAAACAGCTGGAGTTAGGAGGGATGGCTAAGTTGATTGTTTTAGTCAGAAAAAAGAACACATCTAACTTTGTTTCCACTGGGAAACCGTTTCTGGACTTTGTGCTGGAGGTGGGAAAAAACACCTGGAAGCTTTGATTTGGGGTTTTGCTGTTTGTTTATTCACGTCAGAAGCATCACAATTAAAATAAGGCATGACACAAAATGTAAAATACAAAGTAGAAGATTAAAATGTTTACAAATTAAACAGATCTTGCCCAGAAATGAGCAACATTAATTGCGTTGTGTTACATTGCCATGAGCTGCTCAGGTGTGCACGGATCTGGACACCAAGGGCAGGTATACATATGTGTTGTTGTGTGCATGTCATCACAATCGCAAAGGCAGAAGCCACTGGATAGCCCCATTTGTTCGGAGAGGGTTTTGCTAATGAGATAGGATTGTTGTTATAGAAATGGCTAGTCTATATTATTATGTAGAGCTCGAAAATTGAGGTGTAATGTTGTTATGTTATGCCACTGCACTAAAAAGAGTCAGAAGTCAATGTTTCTTCTTCCTTTTTTCCTATTTATTTGATTCTGGGCAGCTCATAATTCAAAATGTGCATTACAATCAAAACTTTAAAAACATTTCAAAACAACAAAAACAATAAAAACAAACAAACATTACAACAATGAAAAACATTAAAATGTTGAATTACATACAAAAGCAAAATATCCTTTTACCCTTACTTTCTCGTCTTACTTTTTTCCTCCCCTATTTTCCTATTATTTTGATTTTCCTTTATATTCTATGTTCAGAGAAACTAATAGCAATTTGATAGCTGAGGTGATGAAATGGCTAAATCCAGTCTAAACATTTGGCTGGTTGTCCAACCAGCCATAATCATAACAACAACAACAGACTTTGCATATCTCCGAAATCCATCTTGTTTGTCCATAACTTCAAAATGTCGAACCATTTTATCTACACCAGGGGTAGGCAACCCTGGCTCTTTTATGACTTGCGGACTTCAACTCCCAGAATTCCTGAGCCAGCATGGGGAAACTATGGCCCCTTCATGACTTGTGGACCAACTTCCAGAATTCCTCAGCCAGCATGGGGGAACTATGGCCACTTCATGATTTGCGGACTTCAACTCCCAGAATTCCTCAGTCAGCATGGGGAAACTATGGCCCCTTCATGACTCGCGGACTTCCAGAATTCCTCAGCCAGCATGGAGGAACTATGGCCCCTTCATGACTGGTGGACTTCCAGAATTCCTCAGCCAGCATGGAGGAACTATGGCCCCTTCATGACTGGTGGACTTCCAGAATTCCTCAGCCAGCATGGAGGAACTATGGCCCCTTCATGACTCGCAGACTTCAACTCCCAGAATTCCTCAGCCAGAATGGGGAAACTATAGCCCCTTCATAACTTGTGGACTTCCAGAATTCCTGAGCCAGCATGGAGGAACTATGGCCCCCTTTATGACTCATGGACTTCAACTCCCAGAATTCCTGAGCCAGCATGGAGGAACTATGGCCCCCTTTATGACTCATGGACTTCAACTCCCAGAATTCCTGAGCCAGCATGGGGGAACTATGGCCCCTTCATGACTCGTGGACTTCAACTCCCAGAATTCCTGAGCCAGCATGGGGGAACTATGGCCCCTTCATGACTCGTGGACTTCAACTCCCAGAATTCCTGAGCCAGCATGGCTCAGCTTGGAAACCTCTTTCCCCTCAGCATGGCTGGCTCAGGAATTCTGGGAGTTGAAGTCCACGAGTCATAAAAGAGCCAAGGTTGCCTACCCCTGATCTACACTGACCCCAGCCAACCTGAGAGGCTAGTTAGTCAAATAAATCCATGGAGGTGATGTTCTGTGTCTTTCTGTAGTATTACCGACGGCTGGAAGCAGAAAAATTACGTCTGCTGGAAGAGGAACGGTTGAGGAAGGAAATGGGTGCAAAGAAAGCCAAGGAGGAAGCAGAAAAGAAACATCAGGTAGGTCCATGGATTCCTGGGGTTGGAAGGGACCTTAGAGGTCATAGAATCATAGATTCTTGGGGTTTGGAAAGGACCTTGGAGGTTATAGAATCATAGACGCCTAGGGTTGGAAGGGACCTTGGAGGTCGTAGAATCATAGACTCATAGGGTTGGAAGGGACCTTGGAGGTCGGAAAATCATAGACTCCTAGGGTTGGAAGGGACCTTGGAGAACATAGAGTCCTAGAGTCCTAGAGTTGGAAGGGACCTTGGAGATCATAGAGTCATAGATGCTTAGGGTTGGAAGGGACTTTGGAGGTCATACAATCAGATTCCTAGGGGTTGAAGGGACCTTGGAGGTCATAGTGTCATAGACTCTAAGCGAGAACTAAGGAGGAATTTCCTGGTAGTGAGAACAATTAACCAGTGGAACCACCTGCCTCCAGGAGTTATGGGTGCTCCATCGCTGGAGGTTTCAAGAAGAGACTGGACAGCCATTTGACTGAAATGGTAGAGGTCTCCTGCTTGAGCAGGGGGCTGGACTGGAAGACCTCCGAGGTCTGTTATTCTTTTTTTTCTGTTATTCTTTCCTCATTCTTATTTTTTTCTAGGTGCGCCTGGCCCAGCTGGCTCTGGAAGATGCAGAAAGAGAAATCAAAGAAAAAGAAGCAGCTCGTCGGAAGAAGGAACTTCTGCAGAAGATGGAGAAGGCTCGGAACGAACCCGTGAACGATTCAGACATGGTGGACAAAATGTTTGGATTCCTGGGAACGACGGCCTCGTTGCCAGGGCAGGAAGGACAGGCGCCCGATGGCTTTGAGGTAAGCAAGTCTGATAGATCAGTGGTTCTCAACCTGTGGGTCGGGACCCCATTTGGGGTCGATCGACCATTTCACGGGGGTCGCCAAGCAAGGCTGTCCGCCATTTTTTTTGTCCGCCATTTTTTTTTCCCTTTTCCGGCGGGTGCCTTACCTCCCTTGGGCTGGGCCAGCTGGTGGTCGGCCTGCTCCGTCTCTGCCGCTTGCCAGCTACGCCTGGGCCAGCGCAGGGGGCGGAACCACGTATGCGCGGCGCTCCCGGGCAGGAAAAGTCCTCGACTTACGACCGGTTGGGTAGTCCTTGACTTACGACCGGTTCAGTCCTCGACTTACGACCGGTTTAGTCCTCGACGTACGACCGGTTTAGTCCTCGATTTACGACCAGTTGGGGTCGCGGCATTAAAAAGGTTGAGAACCACTGTGATAGATGGTCGGGAGGTTAGGGAAGTCCAGATAGTCCTTGACTTACAACCACTTGTTTAGTGACCAAAGTTACAACAGTACTGAAAAATATGACTTATGAATATCAAAATTCACATGCTTGGCAACTGGCAGGTATTTATGACGGTTGCGCTGTCCCGGGATCATGTGATCACCATTTGCAACCTTCCAACAAGCAAACTCAGTGGGAGAAGCCAGATTCGGTTAATGACTGAACGATTCACTTAGCAATTGTGGCAAGGAAGGTCGTAAAATGGAGCAAGTCTCACTTAACAACGGTCTTGCTTAGCAATGGAAATGTGGGGGATCAACGGTGGCCGTCATTTGAGGACTACCTGTATTCTATTTTGAATTCCTGGCCTTTGCAAGGAGTTGGCCTTCAATGTCTGTGCAGATTCTCAGTCCTACAGGTCACGGTTATCCCAAAAGTGCTTTTTCAAAAGGCAACCGGACTTTTTCTCCTTGACGACGTTTCGTTTCTCATCCAAGAAGTTTCTTCAGTTCTAGCTGAATGGTGGAGGATGGAAGGATTTATATTCCTTTCAGTCATCTGGTTATTTGTACTATCTCTGAGAGTCATTGAGGCCACTTAGAGGTTTATCTGTGCCCTCAGGATCACCTGGATCGTGCAAAATTCAGTTGGGCACTTTTGAAGATAGCAAAGTCCACATTCTGGGCAGAGAGGACCGCTGGTTTGAAAGAGGGGTCAAAGAGGCCAATTACATTAAAATTGAGCAGCCCTCTCTCAATAGAGGGGGACGAATATGACACTCCCTATCTCCTGTTTTATAACACAATCTGTGATGACACAGCACCGAGGCAATGCAGTCCGCTGGCAATTCAAGCCGCCCTTTAATTGCTCCAAATTTTCCCCAAAGGCACCCACTTTTGCTGGCAAGCCTCCAAACAAAGGAAAACACACACACCTCTGGCTGAAAGTAGTTTCACATACAGTCTGATTTAGGAGAGGAATTTACTCAAGGTCACGGAGATAAGAAAGAATGACACATTCATCATAAACCTGACAAGTCTGTGGGAATACACGCTTGCCTGAACAGTCTCAAAAGGGAAGCCAAAATACCGTCCGAGGTCTATAAACATCCAAGCAACAGTTGTCAGCCAGTCCAAGGGTCAGAGTTTCCGGGTTTCCAAGCAGAAGTCACAGAACAAGAGATCAGCAACAACACACACAAAACTTCAAGGAATCAGTGTTTGTTCCCGACAAATGCCTCTCCCCACAGCGTCTCCTTAAGTCTCAGTCTCCAGGTGTGCCTTGTGGAGAGGGGCGGGATGCTGCCCTCCCAAGTAGTTGAGCCTGCCTGCGTTGTTCCCTCCTTCTCTCCACTCTCGGTGCTCTAGGATCAGGTGGGGATGGCCTTTGCTCATTGCCTGAACTCTGTCTCTCCTGTTCCTCGTGTCCCACTCCTGGAAGGCCCTGGTCTGCCTCGGCCTGCTCTTCCCCACATTCCTCTAAACCCACAGACCCCTCTCCCTCGCCCTCCATTGGGTCCCATTCCAGCTCATTTTCCTCCGCAGATTCAGGCTCCGACGGAGGCACGACACAATCCTTTCAGCAGTTCCAAAAAGGCTGCACACCCATTTGCACTATTCAAGTAACCCCAAGGGCGCAGATAAGCCTTCCAGTGGCCTGAACGACTCTCAGAGGGAGCGCCAGCGACCAGATGACTGCAAGGAATAGACTGTAAATCCTTCCATCCTCCACCGTTCGGTCAGGGTCACTTCCCTATCGGAACACTGCCATTTCAAAAGGGAGCAGGAAACACGAGCTATTGTGGATAGAGAGTGTTCCCGCATTGTTTCTAGTTTTTGCTTTGATGTATCTACATGGGAATTAGGGTGTGGGGGGGAACCCCCAGGACCATCTGGTTAAACTCCTGCTGGCCAGCTCCAGAGAACGGCCAGTTATCCCCTGTTTGGCTTAAAGTTCTCACGACGTCTTCACCCACCAGCGGATTGACTCCTGATGGGCTGGGGCAGTGATGGCGAACCTTTTAGAGCCCGAGTGCCCAAACTGCAACCCAAAGCCCACTTATTTATCGCCGGGTGCCGGGTCGGCGTGGCCCACTGGGTGGTCATGGCTGTGGTCATGGCAGACTGGGTGTGTGTGGCCAAGGTAGGCATGGTCACCTCGATGTTGCTCATGGGGAGGGACGCCTATGGGGGCCGGGCAGGGTTAGGGTAGATCTAGGGGGTCTCTGGCAGGTGGGGCGGTGGGCAGGAGGCTCGTCCTGTGGGGTGAGGCAAGGCACGGCGGAGGTACCATTGCCACAGGGCAAGGCGAGGCAGGGGCCGAGGCGGCTGCTGCCTGACACCATTGGCCCCCACACACAGAGGCCAGCGAGTGCATGGGGGCTGACAGTGTCCATCAGCAGCCACAGCCTGCCGGCCCCTCAACCGGCGCATTCTGGGGTTCCACAGCCCACCGCCAGCAGTTCAGAGAAGCCGCGTCTGAGCTGGATGGATGACCAACAGCTGAGGAAGCAATGCAGTGGGTCGTGCCCAGGAAAAGGAGAGCATGCGAGGCCAGGAGGGATGGGATGGGGGGGGGGAGAGAAACCAGCCATGCTGGGATGCATCCGGCCACATGGGAGCTCAGTGAGTTAGTGGGCTGCTGGTTGAAGAGGGACGGTTGCCATCTCCAGGGCATGGCACGCGTGCCCACAGAGAGGGCTCTGAGTGCCGCCTCTGGCACGCGTGCCATAGGTTCCCCACCACTGGGCTGGGGCGTCGGGTTGGGGGCCGAAAAGATGGGACTTTTAGCTTGATGCTTTTGCACGGGAACTTCAGATCCCCACCTTGCTTCTCTGCAATCAGTTTCAGTAAACGATGCCTGTGGTGTTTTTCTGAGGGAGGAGCCAAGGCGGGACCTGACATTCAGAACGGGAGAAGCTTCTTGGATGAGAAGCGAAAAACAAAGAAAGTCCAGTTGCCTCTTTTTTTGGGGGGGGAAAAGGATCTTTGGGTCGAGTTGGCCTTAACTGACCCTTCCCACTCCACGCTTCTGGGCGAAACCTTTGAGCCGAGTCAAATCTTCCTTGCAGGATCTCGAAAGAGTTGGGAAGATGCTGCAAGAAGACGACTTAGACACGGCGCTCCCTCTCCCTGAGGAAGAACAGGAGGACCTGTCGGAGTATAAATTTGCCAAATTTGCCGCCACGTACTTCCAGGGCACCACCACGCACACATATGTACGCCGGCCTCTGAAGCAGCCGCTGTTGTACCACGAGGACGAAGGAGACCAGTTGGTGAGTCTCCTTCAATGGCTTCTTCTTCTTCTTGTGCCATATCCGTTATCGGACGTTGGCGATCCTGTTTTTATCAGCAGCCGCGCGAAAAAGTGCTGCTGAGTTTTGTCCAAACCAGTCCCTTAGAAGCCTTAGAGCAGACATGTCAAACACAAGGCCCGGAGGCCAGAGGCGGCCCGCGAAGTGGTTTCATGTGGCCCGCGAAGCCATCCTGGAAACAGTGAGGGAATGGCCCCCACTGCCTTGGCCCTGGCCCAGGCCGGCCGGGAACCAATGTATAATTTTGTGGTGGCTATCTATGTTGAAACACATTCAGTCTTAGCTCCAGAAGGCCGTCCGGAAACGGCGAGGAACCAGCCCCTGCCGCGTCGGCCCCGTCCCCTGGGTGCATGCTGGGGAGGTGTCACCCTTTGTGAGGAATGAAGAAATGCACCATCGCCTGGAAGTGGCCAGCAAATGGCCCTCGCCTACGTCACCTATCCGGCTTGATGGGCTCCGGCAGAGGGGTTTCAGCAGGCAATGAGGCTCCTCCAGTGGACCCTGCCTTGGCACTTGCCCCGGTCCCACCCCCTTCTGCCAGAGACCCCCAGATCTGTCCCACTCCTGCCCAGGCCCCCACAGACACCCTTGACGTGAATGATGTAGAGCTGGCCATGCCCACCCAGTAGGCCACACCTACTCCATCCACGCCCACCCAGTAGGCCGCACCCACCCTGGCCCCCCCCGCCCCCCCCGAGGGCAACCGCAATGCTGATGCGGCCCTCAATAAAATTGAGTTTGACACCCCTGCCTTAGAGGCTCTTAGGGGGAAGCGTGGAACCCCCACAGAGCGCGTCCCCGGGTGGCGGATTGGGGGGCCCTACCCATTATGGCTTTTATGCTGTAATGGCGGGTTGGAGGGAATCAAATCCCTCCCGTGGACCAACAGGCCTGGTGAGTGGCAGCTGGCTCCCCAGTATCGACTGAAGGCGGAGACCATGTTGGTTGGAACGGCTTCAGAAGAACAGCACACGGTGTGGTGGCAGCCACTTGAACAGCGTGTGCAGAGCGGTGTAGAAAGCAAAGGGAAGACTACCACACTATATATTTCCCAGGGAAATCATGTTAATGGCGGCAAAACCTAACAATGGCCCCGAGTACGGGCGCCCCTTAAATGGGGCAGGGGTGTGCTAAGAATCTCCCGGTCCGCTAGAATTATGATAAACTCAAAACTACGAATTGGACGGCTGGGTAGAGAATATAAAAGGGCAAGTTGTGGAAGGTCAGTCGCTGACTTCTGACAGGTACTCGTGACTTACAATCACTCATTTAGCGACCGTCTGAATTTACAACAGCACCGAAAAAAGGGACCTGCGACCGCTTTTCACACTTAACGACCGTCGCAGCCTCCCCATGGTCACGTGACCAACATTCAGAGACTTGGCAACTGACGTGTACTGATGACGGTTGCAGCGTCCCCCTGGGTCACGTGATCCTCTTTTGCGACCGTCTGACCAGCAAAGTCAATGGGAGGGGGGGAAGCCAGATTCACTTAACAACCTTGTGACTCCCTTAATGACGGCTGGGATTCCCTTAACAACCGAGGCAAGAAAGGTCGTAAAATGGGGCGAAGCTCACTTAACGAACGTCCCACTCAGCGACAGAAATTTTGGACTCTGTCGCGGTCGTAAGTCGAGGACTCCCTGTACAGATAGTCCTCGACTTACCGCAGTTTCAGTTAGGGGCAGTTCAAAGTTACAGCGGCACTGAAAAAAAGCGATCTATGACCGTTTTTCACACTTAACGACCGTTGCAGCATCCCCAGCGTCACCTGATCAACATTCAGAGGCTTGGCAACTGGCATGTACTTATGACGGTTGCAGTGTCCCCGGGTCACGTGATCCCCTTTTGTGACCTTCTGACAAGCACAGTCAATGGGGGAGCCAGATTCACTTAACAACCGTGTGACTCACTTAACGACAGCAGGGATTCCCTTAACAACGGTGGTCAGAAAGGCCGTAAAATGGGGCAAAGCTTACTTAACCACCGTCTCGCTTAGCAACGGACATTTTGAGCTCAATTTTGGTCGTAAGTCAAGGACTACCTCAATTTCCTTTCCTGCCAAAACCAGGCAGCCCTGGCGGTCTGGATCACCATCCTTCGCTTTATGGGGGACCTTCCGGAGCCCAAATATCACACCGCGATGAGTGACGGCAGCGAGAAAATCCCGGTCATGACCAAAATTTATGAGACGCTGGGGAAGAAGTCGTATAAGAAGGAACTCCAGGCCCTTCAGAGCGAAGGAGAAGTAAGTAGGAAGCTGGCAAAGATTCTGTTCCTCATTTCTGTTGTTTTGGGAAAGGGAGAGCAAGATACTCACAGAGTAGCAACCACAGAAGTGGACCCAGATGGGCCTTGCGGAAGGAATTCAACAATCGTTAGATAAGCGTCAACTTAGCCCAGTCAAACAGAAGTGAGGAAAGCACTGAAGTGGAACCACCTACCTCCAGGAGTTGTGAATCCTCCAACACTGGAAGTTTTTGAGAAGAGATTGGACAGCCATTTGTTTAAAATGGTATAGGGTTTCCTGCCTCAGCGGGGGGCTGGACTAGGTGACCTCCAAGATCCCTTCCAACTCTCTTATTCTATCCTATCCTATCCTATCCTATTCCATTCCATTCCATATTTTCTATTCTATTCTATTCCATTCCATTCCATATTTTTTATTCTATTTTATTCTATTCTATTCCATTCCATTCCATATTTTTTATTCTATTCTATTCTATTCTATTCTGTTCTGTTCCGTTCCGTTCCATTCAATTCCATTCCATATTTTCTATTCTATTCTATTCTATTCTATTCTATTCTATTCTATTCTATTCTATTCCATATTTTCTATTCTATTCTATTC